CCCCAAAACCCCAAAACCCCAAAACCCCAAAACCCCTTATAACAAATTCTAAATTGAAATGGAAACAGCCACATCTTTAGAAGCCCACATTTGGCTATTTGAAAATATCTCTAATCTCCCTCTCTTGCTCCCAGAAGTTATCTACCAGAGAGGAGAACTTGTTTAGATCAGTTATATTAATTTTGATAGATTAGAAAATTTCCCCATTTTTGACATTTGAATCGATCCAATCTTGGAAAAGGAGAATTATGGGCTATTATGACAACATGTTTGTTTAGTGTGTAAGAGAGGGTAGACCGTAATAAAAATTACCTTGAAATGTATAATAATGTTATTCCGAGCTTAAAAATTATCCTCATTGTGTTTACCAAACTTCTGTGAAAAGAGCTAAAGGATTACTTGAGCGAAACTAAGATCTTATTCTGTCAGCAAAATTTTCAATAATCTTCTAAGATAGTTCTTTCCTAATTCTAATCGGTGATCTGATTACGTCTGATCGCAAAGATGAAAACTGGTCTTATGGAAGAACTTCTTGTTAACTTTGAGGATAACTGAAAATTTAAATTACATTTCTAGAAGTAGAGGCATCAGCCGTCTTAAGCTCTAAATTAGGATGATAAGGTCTCTATGTATCCTCTCATACCCTACTCTCTGCGTTTGCTCATAGACAGACAAATTTTATTTTCTACGTCATCCTTAGGAACAGCCATGTGAAATTAATTCACCTAAATATGGGAAATTTAACTTTCTTTAAAATTGTTCCATGAATCTCTCCCAATGGTGTTGGAGATTATACGAATGCATAAATATGAATCAGGCATGGTCTAGCCTAAAACTGGCATGGCCTCCCCTTATATACCCGGTATCTTTCCAAATGTAACCACAGGACCCTTCCCTCCCAAGTTTAACAAGTTTAAGTTCGAAATTTAGTCGAAATAATTAAGAATTAAAGATTCTTTTGATATCATCTTATATCGGAGTTGCCTCGGAGTGATCTCCAGGCATCCTTGGTTGAGTCATTGATTTACTCAATGTCTTTGGTCGACTTGAAGTCATCCAAATCCTTCTCATGTAGTCCATCTACATAAACATCCATTTGATGTTGGAAGAAGGGGTAGAGCTTTGGGCTACCATCATCAGAAGTCGAAGGGCTTGAGTCAGCCTCAGACTTAAAAAAATCGACTCCATTTTGAGGAGTTGAGTCAATTTGGTTGGCGAGAGCGACGTTATTTCCCATAAGTAAAAGATTGAATTAAAATTTAATTTATTATAAGATTCAGCAGCCAGCTGCATATATGGGGTTTTGGGGTTTTGGGGTTTTGGGGTTTTGGGGTTTTGGGGTTTTGGGG